CCCCCCCCCCAACCACCAAGTTCACTTTTTTATTGCAGATTCGGGGTCCTCTAGTGCAGCGCAGCACAGCCCCACCTTCAGAAAAAAAAATTAAAAATCCTTGCCTTGTTTTTGCGTCGCCCGGTTCACCCGGGCGGACCCCCCCGGGCCCAACCGGCCGGGGTCCGCCCGGCTGGGCGGCAGCCCAGCCCAGCATTGAACGTGATAATCAACTTCAATGTCAATTTTTCCTGAATTTCTCTATTCTGGATTATTGATCGATACTCGTGTGACACCTGTCAGGACAGTGATGCGGTGCTTCTTGGCTGCAGAATTCATCACCTATGCCATCAACATTATCAATCTATTGCAGCTGCTGCTGTCTGTGCCGAAGGGTGTCCAACATTTCCTCATTGTACACATCCCGATCATTCAGATATTCGTTGTCCCTTTTGTGGTCAAGGACGCTATCAGGACTGCATGATGCCGCACTGTGATGAACATCCTGCTGTTTTTGTGACATGCGGACAGCATGTCCTTTGTCAGGACTGTTTTGATGGGATGGTCCATGCTAGCTGTCCTGCTGAGTGCTGTGCTGAAGTAGCTCTCCTTGGGTATCCTTGTGCACATCCACGTCATCCTGAGCGTGCCTGTCCTATCTGCAGTGAGTGCGCGAGCATGTTTTCGACACCGCCGTCTTTGGCGATTTTTCATTTTTTTTGGGCATATCTAAATGCCCTGAAAATGCACAGATGTGTACTTCACATAATACAAAACCCACTAAAAAAGTTTTAAAAAATAATAAAATTGTTTAGACCCCGAACTAAAGTGAAAACAAAAAGTAAATAGTGAAAAAATACGTGGGCGAGCACGTTTTGACATCGCCATCTTTGGAGATTTTTAATTCTTATTTGGCTTAGCCAAACGACTTGAAAATTTACAGGCATATACCTCACGTCATAGAGAACTCACAAAAAATAATTCAGAAAAAGAAAATTATTTTTGGGCCCCAAAATAATTTTTGGCGGGGGCCTAACGCCGTCGGGTTCGGACCCCGTACGGGACCCCGAACACCCGTACGTACGGAGGTCTGCCTGGGGACCTCCATACGTACGGGCTGGTGACCCTGTATAGATATATATACATATACTATCTGTATGACGATATGTAATGCTTTGGTTGGTTTTTGCAAAAGAAAAAGAAAAAAAAGAATATGCGTGTGTGTTCAGCCTCCTGATGAGTCGGTGGAACTCCGAGGAAACAGTTTGTCACAGCCCCTCGCTTGTTGTCCTCTTCTCCCTCTCTGCGGACGGTTTACCGGGCAGTTCTGATGGGCGATACGCACACAAAATGGAAAACTCTACAAGACTGTCGGTTCACACCCCATCACAAGCCAGCAAAACCCCCACGAAACAAAGAAAGTGACGATATGTATTCTGATATAAGAGATACTGACCGGCCTAGCGCAGTTGGTATACCCAGGAACTGTTGAAATACAGACCCATGTTCGAATCCAGATCTGATCAGATGAACAGAATACCATAATTCTGAATTACTTCGGAACGACAGCTTAGATGAACAGGAGACCATAATTCTGAATTACTTAAACCGGTCAGCTCAATGATGAAAACGAAAAGGAAAAGAAAAGAGTGAATATTTTGTTTTGGTTGTAACAAATGATGCGAATTATTGTGCAATGAGGACGATGTGGATGATGAACATTTGGGCACTGACTCGTTGCGGCGGTTCTGGATTCTTGGTTGCCATGTGGACAGATCCCGAGCGCTGATTGCCGTGGGATTGATAGATTGGGCGATTGCTCAGGGCATGCATCCCGACTCAGCGCTGTGTGGGCTGATTGAAAGCAGCAGCTCGTGCGCTTCTGTCTTGATCGCGGATGGTCGCAGAGCGCCGATCGCGATCCCGACTCCAGTGCTGTTGTCGTATCTGAAGCAAGCCACATGGACAAGAGCGGGCCAGCAGCAGCAGCAAGGAGGATGGTCGAGCCCTGATGGGATGCCACGTGTCTTCATGATGGGTCACTCCGATGGCGGGAAGACGGCCATGCTAGCCGCTGAGTTTGATCGACGCGTAATTGGTGTTCTTGGGTTTGACCCAGTGGATTGCCCACCCCCCTACGCGGTAAGTGGGGAGTAACTTATTTAGCTTTTTCTTTTTTGTATTTATCTATTTCCATTTTCGTATTGTGATTTTAATTTTGTTTGATGTTGTTGGTTTCGACCCGGAGGATCGCCCACCCGCCCTACGCTGTAAGTCGGACTATCTTATTCTGCTTTTTCTTTGTTTTTTTGTTTTTTTTTTAGTTTTGTTGTTGGTGTTCTCGTTTTTTTGGTGTTAGTTTAGTTTTGTTGTTGTTGGTGGTGGTCTCTGCTTTTGACCTGGTGGATTCCCCAACCCCGTACTCTGTAAGTGAGATTAGCTTATTTTGCTTTTTTTTTTTTTTT